CAACATTGCTCGAGCACATTTCAGGCATCTTATGGTGAACAATACTGTCCATTTATGCTCCAGGAATAAAAAATGTAAAAATCCAAAAACCCAAACGGATACCAAAAAAGCAGCATCCACTATTTGGTCCACAATTTCTGATAAAAAAGGTTTATGAAAAAATAACATTGATGAATGTACATCGAAGTCTCTTGTCTTTATAAAATGTAGATATATTTAAAAAGTGGAAAAAGCTGTATGAAATTGCAATATATATCACATCAATATGTACAGACGACATGCCTCAGGTTACACATCACTGCAAAAGAACAACAAACACACAATATTAGTGATGAGCAAAGCCAAATCCAAAAATGCAACATAAAAGAGCTATGTGGCATGTGAACTGATGCACACTGCAGTCGATTAATTTAAATAGGCAGTTGTTAATGTTAAAGTCACACACATGAACTGTACAGACATGGTTATGGAATATTCAAGTATCATAAATGTATTTTTTTGCTGACCTTGTGCCAGCAACCTGCTATTGGAAGTCCATCGGGACCCTTCAAAGTAAAAAAACAAAACATGGGTGTACGAGCAGAGTCAATTTTCAGTTGTATTGCAATTTTAACAAATTCATGTGTTAAAGTAGTTTAAACAAATTATCAGTTTAAATTTGACAACTGTCTGTAAGCAAACACTGCACACAAATTTCTAATAATTATTTTGCTAAAAAAAAAAAATATATATATATATATATATATATATAATAAGTAGACATCAACCTAAAAACTCAATCTCTAAAGAATCACAGATTTTTACATACATGCTTGCAAAACTCATCACAATAATGCTGTGTTATATGAAGTAACACTAATAAAATATTAATGAGACTTTGCTTACTAAGTTACACTGTTTCTCGTCAAACTTTGTTAATATTTTATACATAAGTTTGGGCTTTATAACAGTTGAATAAAAATGAATAATCTCTAATTATGTGTGTTGTATATACACTATGGTTTAAATGTTTGGGTCGTAAGATTTTATAATGTTTTTGAAAGATGTTTTTTGCTCACCAAGGCTGCATTTATTTGATCACAAATAAAGTAAAAACAGTACTATTGTCAATTATTATTTATAATATGTTTTATATTATTATTATTATTATTTTAATATAATTTACTCCTGTGATGCATAGCCAAGAGGATCATATTGGCTCGCTAGCACTCGGTAGATCTGGCGCATTGTTACGGAGGAAGAGCGTCTGGTTCGATGCTTGTAACATAGAGTGTCGGACTGACAATGCCACTGCAGTCCAAGTGTAGACTCGTGGACGTCTTGTTGGCCTTGACTGAGCCAGAGGTCACAGGTACTGGATCTGGATTCAGCAGGGAGATGAGTAATCACAGATGGACAATTTCTGGCCCACTGTCGAAGCTCGAAGCCTCCTGTGGCTAGAAGTGCTCGAAGTTGATCAACTAGGTCTCTAGCCTCTTGAGGGGAGTGAAGACTGTGCAGGCAATTGTCGACGTAAAATGATCTCTCAATTACCTCTCTGAATTGGTCTCCCGGCTGACTGTGATCCGTGACGTGTCTCTGCAGGGCATACGTGGCACAGCAGGGACTGCACGTGGTGCCAAAGGGGAGCACCTGCCACTGGTACACGTCGGGGGGTCGCTCAGGTATCAAGTCTCACCACAGAAATCGGAGCAAGGGCATGTCACCGGGGAGCAGCCTCACCTGGTGAAACATACCACGAATATCGCTGCTTATTGCAACAGGGTGCTCTCGAAAGCGGAGCAGGACTGCTAGTAGTGATGGGCCAAGTGTGGGTCCTGGAAGTAGGAACTCATTAAGGCTGTGGCCTTCAAACTGAAAGGAGCAGTTGTAGACGACCCTGTTCTTGTTATTGTGCTGAACCATATGGTGCGGGATGTACCATGACTCTGTGGTGCTATCCACGTCTCTCAATTCCAGCTTGGCTACATAACCTGCTTGCTTCAGTCTGGTGATCTCGGCCTGGTAGGCGGATGCCTGCTCTGGGTTCTTAAGCAGTCTCCTCTCGACACTCCTAAGCTGAGGGAGAATAGCTTCTTTAGGCATAGTCAAGCGTGGCATACTCTGCATACGAAGGAGCGGTGTGGCATACCGCATCGTATCTTCTACTTCCACTCGCACAGTCTTCTCCTGCAGGAGTCTGATGGCTTCTTGATCTAGTCTGGATCGTGTCGCTATCTTGTCACTGCAGTAGGGAATCACATCCATCTGCCATAGTCTCTCAACATGAGCAAACAAGTCTGTGTTGGGAAGAACTGAGGTGAAGAAACACTGGTGTGTGTTGATCTCACGACGAACCTCATGAGTAGGACCTTGAAGAGTCCATCCAAGGCGGGTTTTGACTGCTGCAGGACCCCCTGGTGGGCCTAACCGGACTGGTTCAACAGGCGTGATGAGATGTGGGCAATCTGACCCGATCAGCAACACGGGCTGCACTTTATCCATCTGCTGCAGTGGGAGGCCAGCTAGATGTCTGTATCTCTTCTGTAAGGAAGCCACTGGATAGGTGTGTTCGGCGAGGCCTAGTCTCTCGGCTGTAAATGCATGTTGAATGAGGTATTTCTTGTGGGGATGAGACACAGGTGATACTGTGAAGGAGACAGCCTCTCCATGAAGCACCTGCTGATCTTGTCTCACTGTGCGCAGGATCAGATCTTCTAGCTGCCCCTTGAGGTTCAGTTGCTGAGCTGCAGCATGGAGGAGAATAGTCCTTTCCGACCCATCATCCAGCACTGCATACGTTTCCAAGGATGCATCCCCATTTGCAATGATGACTTTACTAACTTTCAAAAGGACTCTGCGGCTGCCGACAAAACGGTCTGCATACAAGATGTCTTTCGTGGTACTCACAAGACACGAGTTCTCCTTGGGATCAGTCTCATAATTGGTATTCGCAGCCCGCTCATTCAACTCATGCAATATAAGCAGGTGTCTTCTATTGCAGGTCTTGCACAGAGCCTTTAGTGTGCATCTGGAAGCATGATGATTACGGCCACACCGCCAACACCTGTTGTTCTTGCGGATCCATGCCTCTTTCTGTTCTTTGGTCAGCTCCTTGAAGTTGGGGCATCCATTAAGGAAGTGCCATCCGTAGTCTGGAAAACTGTCTGGGGTCAGCTGCTGTCAGGCTGGGGATTGTAGGCTTTGGTCCTCGATATATCTGCTCTTGGACATGCAGCATCTCCGTTCTAGGTATCACATGTGGACGTGTTGGTATACTTAATTCTCTCTCTCTCTGATGATGACTGTATCTGGGATCAGGCGTCACAGTGTCGTACTGTCCTGCTCCTGCAGGCTGGGCTGAGTAGGTATATGACCTCTGAATTGGTGCGTGATGGCTCTCATCAGCATGTGGTGTCCTAGGTGAAATTGTAAGATCCTCCATCTGTCTCGTCAGCTGCTCGCACTGGGTAGGTCGGGGTGGAGGAACTTCATCAGCATACACTGCAGAACTTCTCCGACTACAGACGGATGGTGGCAAGTGAGTACGAGGGGCTGGTACAGGTGTCACTGATCGACAAGGAGTCTCAAAACTGGTGCTAAACTGCTGGATATCCTTCCTCAATAAAGTGTTCTCCGCCTTGAGCCCTTGCAACGTAGACATGATCTTTGGCAGAATGTGGCTGCGAAGCTCATCGTTGTCCTTTTTCATCTCGAACCACATAGACTTTATATCAGACAACTGCTGGACTTGAAGGTGGCGCTCGCCATGATCTGGCGACACATCTCTAAATGGCTCTGGCCATACATCTCGCAGAACTAGATCATCCACGTATGAAGGCTGACTCTTTGGAGAAGACGATCGGGATGCATTCTCTGACGTGGGTGCATCTGCTTTCATTCCAGCTTCATTCAGATGTTTAGCTGATGGCACTCTCTTCACAAAGCCTGATCCATGAACTTGATAGTCTGCTAGATGTGCAGGCGGCCTTATTTGTCATCAAGGTCGGACAACAGGAGGATCTGACTCAGAACGGGATGTCATCTCTCTACAGTGATTCACTTATCCGGCTCGAAGGACCACTTGAAATGAAGGGTTCGTTGGTTGTATTATGGGGGTGTGAAACACAGTAGGCAGTCTGTCAGGACTGAGTGAGATGGTTTCTTAATTGAAGAGAAGCACTCAATGGAGTTGGTTGATGGATGATTTACTGAAAGCTTTGTGGGTATACATGGATGTGGTTTTTTCACATGTACGCACACTGTAACCCAGTATAAACTCAAAGTCAATGTGGTCTTTAAAGTAACTCTGAATGAACTAGAATACAGCTACCAAACTCTCTATCTTCTCACATTTGCTGCGTCTCTCTTTAGCCTGTGATTCAGCTCCGCCTTCCGTGGTGACATTGCAGCCGCGCTGAACATTCTGATTGGTCAGAATAATCCGTGACTTAGAGACAGCCGAGCCTTTTGTACAATGATTTTATTCAATTTATGAAGGTGCTGTAAACTATTTTTATCCTATCATAATTGTACAATACTACAGTATTTTTTAATTTTTTTAAATGCAACTTATTATACAGTATATTATAGATTTAAAAAAAATAATAATTTCATTATCTGAAACTTATGAGTTTCCCTCTTGTAATTATGACTTTGTGGTGGTGATCATGTGCATTCAACTCATAAATACGATCTTTCCGACATGACTCAAATGCACCATTAGCTATTTTATTTGAATATTGGATAATTCTGATTCATTAGCCACTATGGGTCAATAACTTGAAGAACAACAAAGTGCAGTATTTGTGCCACAAACCAGTGCATATTTATGATTATGACAGTAAATTAAAATAATAAGTTAACAAATAGTTTGCAGCATCAAGCAGCATAACTGACTGTTTTTGTACAGCTAAAATAACTGGGAGCAAATGACCCTGGAAACCTTGCATTCAAGTTATGAAAGTCCGAGACAATAGTCTTATCCTTCAGTGCAGCATAAAAATCAAATGAGCACACTTTTAATAAACGTATGATGCATCGTTCCTCACCGGTTCGCCCTGGGGCCCTTGTTCTCCAACATCTCCTTTATCTCCCTGAGAAATACAAAGCTCAAATCAAACCAAACCAGTCAAGCACATTGATGTTACCCATTTACTGTAAGTCCTGTCTTTGTAGGAATCATTATATATATATATATATACACACACACACACACACACACACACACACACACACACACACACATATAACAGAAAGAGCTTCACCCAGCGCTCACCTTTAAGCCTGGCAGACCATCGGTTCCTCGGTCACCCTGAGGACCTGGCTCTCCCTGCTCACCCTGCCAAACATATACAGAGCGTTTAAAATAATATAGAACAGATCGCAGAGAGTAATCCTGAAGCAGAAGATGCTTGAACAGAGCAGTCGGATCCATATGAAGCCCATTACTCTATGAAATCATTCTTATTACATTGCTAATGATTAAGTAATGGTCAGAGGCTATGGTGAAATCAAGCACATGATCAAATCCCAAAAATATGCTTAGGTGATTAAATAAAACTGAACCTATGAGACTAAAGAGTGCAAAACAGAAGATAAAAATACTCAGAAAATTAATAGGTTAAAAATAATATTGCTTGCTTGATGTCTCATATTTAAGTACCAAAATGGAGGAAAAGGACCTTGAAAACGCTTTTGAATCCGTGTATCATTCGATCATTCATTTTTTGATTTAATATTGAAAGTAGAAAAATGAGAAAACGGCTCCTTTTTCGTTTTTTCGTTTTTTTCCAAAAAACGGAAAACGAGAATTCAGCTTAAATTTTCGTTTTTTCGTTTTTTGGGAAAAAACAAAAAAGGAGCGGTTTTCTCATTCTTCTACGTTGCTGCGCATTCGCACTGCAACGCAAGATTTTCATAAAATATAATAGCTTGCCATTTCGGTTTGTTTCTCACCAAACCCTCAGTATACCTTCAGAATGCTTGGAATATACGCCACGAGATGCATATATGATTATTTTACGACAGATATGCATCCGCTTAAAAACCGTTATGTTAGTTCACACAGTTCCAATAAATTGCGATGGGTTAAATAAACTCAATAAGCAGACAGACGCGACTACAGTCAAGCGCAGAAGTGCACAGGAAATAAGCAGCAGTCATATTTAAAGCAGTTTAAATTAATATTGAGTACTGATTGATGTTCACTTGGATTTTTTCCCCATCGAGGGGGAATAACTTAATACTCTGTCATTTATAGTCATATGGTAAAATGTATATTTTTAATTGTGTAACGTTAAGTTCAAAATAACTACAAAATGGCATGCCTTTGAAAAATAAATAGAACAACAGAATGCTTTAGCGCATCTCGGTCTCCTTGAACATCTTTCTGGCGCATGCCACAAACATGAACCACAGC